CGTCGACGAGACCTCCGCACCCGCCCCCGCCTCCAGGCCAACCTGCCTTGGCGCATATCTTGGGTCGGGCAAAAGGGGGGGATAGCAAAGGGGGAGTTTGAGAATCAGCTCACGTAGCTGATTTTCCAGGCGCCCCCCAGCGCCAGAGGCGGCTATGCGTCGAGGAATGGGCCCCTCGGTGAGGCCGAAACCAGCTGCATGCAGCAAATTTCGTAACAACCCCTTTCCCAATCCCCCCCTTTCGTCCGGCCCGAATATCGCGCCCCGCCGGTGAGCGACGCGCCCTCCTCTTCGCGCTCTCGAGCCCACGCAGCCGAAACAGGCATGAAGCGGGTGCCCCAGCCCTCTCTGGAGGCCTCCTGGATGGGGTCCGAGTAGATGGGGCGGGAGGATCTCGCCGCATCGCCGATACCTCGGCGATGCATCGCCGATGCATCGGCCATGCATCGGCCATGCACTGGCGACGTCGGCGATGCATCGGCGACGTCGGCGTGAAGCAAATCGGGCTCCACATCGAGCCGCATCGCCGATGCATCGGCGATGCGGCGCGATCCTCCGACCCCATCCATCTACTCGGAGATCTGCTGACCTGGGTCGATCCAGCCCCGGGTCAGTCAAGCCTTGCAGGATCCTGCAAGATCCTGCAGGATCCTGCAGGATTTGGCGGCGCGCAGAGGGGGGTAGGGGGAGGGGTGAAGGCGCGGGCCTTGTCTGCAGATGAAAGGCCGGGGCCGTCTGAGAAGGAGCCTCCTTCTAAGAAGCCTTCCCCCCCCCTCCACCCCCCCCCCCCCGCCGCCAGAGGATCCTGCACCCAAACCTGGGTCAATGCGACCCTGGCCCTGCAGGATCCTGCAAGATCTGGCGCTCTGGCTGACCGCCGTTTTGCATTGACCCAAGACCCCAAACGTCATGACTTTTTCATGACGTCGACCCCCAAGAGGTCTGGACCCCTTCCCCGGGACCAGTTTTTCATCCTGAGTCGTTTTTTGACGGTCCCGAGTTGGCGGCGCGCACAAGGGGGTGGGGGAGGGGGGGGGGCTGCTTGGAGGGAGGCTGCTTCTCAGAAGGCGGCGGCCCTGTATCTACAGGTAAGGCCCGCGCCTTCTAAGAAGCAGGGGTGTTTCTAAGAATCCCTCCCCCCTCCCCCCACCCCCCCATGCATGTGGCCCACCGAGGCCCGGCGAGAGCCCCTAAAGGCCGAAAATTGCGAGGACCCCCGTCTCGAGGCTCCCGGCTGACACCTGGCCACCCGCCCGCCCGGGGCACTTGAAGGGAGGGGGGGACGGGCGGCGTGCCTGCCCAGGGGCGGAGAGAGCCCGCCTCTTGGATCGAGAGACCCCCCGCGGCCTCCTCGGAGCGGCTGCCCCTTGGAAACCTCCGAAGGAGCGGGGGCGGTGTCCTTCCGAGGCGCCCCGCGCACTCGAAGGAGAGACGCACTTCCCCTCGCCCGATCCCCCCCCGCGGCCTGCCCGCCTCCTGGGAGGTCCGCCTGCCTTCTGGGAGCGGCTCACTCGGAGACCTCCGAAGGAGAGGGGGCAGGATCCCTCCCAGCGAAGAAGGCCCCGAACAAGTGTGATGACTTGTTGTATCACACCTGTTCCTTTTCTCACACTTGTTTGTTGCAACACTTCCTTATCACACTTGTTTTTTGTATCACACTTGTTTTTGTTTGGTCACACTTGTTCGGAGCATCGCTGCCGTGCCAGCACGGCGCACGACTGCGATACGTCCCCCCCACAGGAATCCGCCGCCCACAACACGGCAGCGACGTCCCTCTCCCAGCCAGGATGTCCCGAGCCGCGCCCCGCCGTGGCGACGAGAACCCCGGGAAACGCCCAAGGAACTCCAGACCCAAAAACGACGACGCCGACGACGACGACGACCAAGGCGACCAAGACGACCAAGACGACCAAGACGACAAGACGACAAAGACGACAAGGACAACAAAGACGAGAAAGACGACGACGACGACGACGACGACCAAGACGACAACGACGACGACCAAGACGATGACGACGACGACCAAGACGACCAAGACAACAAGGACGACAAAGACGACAAAGACGACAAAGACGACAAAGACGACAAAGACCATGACGACGACGACGACAACGACGACGACGACGACGGCGACGACGGCAAAGACGACGACGACGACGACGACGACAACGACAACGACGACGATGACAATGACGGCGAAAAGGAAGACGTCTACGAAGACGAGAAAGACGACGACGACAAGTGAGTGAGCGAATGGATGCTGATGATGATGACGATGATGATGATGATGATGATGGTGGTGATGATAATTATGTTGATACTGCTGCTGTTGCTGCTGATGATGGTGATTGTGGTGGTACTGATGGTGATGATGACGGCGGCACACAGGAAGAAAAAGGATGGCAACGAAGTCAAAGACTGAGGAACGACGGCACGGAAGGAAGAGAGCAGAGGAGGATGAGGAAGTTGAAGAGCGGCGGGTGCATGGAGGAATGTGGTTGGAGGAGGGCAGAGGGGAGGGGGTCGAGTCGCGGAGTAGATAGGGAAAGGAGGATAAGAAGGACAAGTATAATAGTACAATTGCGAAAGCGGCACGAAAACGATTTTTTTTTTTTTTTTTTAAAAAAAAAAAAAAAAAAAAAAAAAAAAAAAAAAAAAAAAAAAAAAAAAAAAAAAAAAAAAAAAAAAAAAAAAAAAAAAAAAAAAAAAAAACGGAAGATAAGGAGGATAAGAAACACGAGGGAAGAGGAAGGACAGAGAGCGGAGAGGGGAAACGAGGCAATGAAAAAATATAACAAATGAAAGGCCGTCAAACATCGAAACATTGCAAAACAAACAACAAGACACAAAAGGAAACAAAAACAAACAAACAAAACACTATAGGCATCAGAAACAGGCTGTCGCAAACTGAGATTGACCAACTTCTGTTGCGCACCACATCTTGACACCCCCCCCTCCCTCCCCCTATCCCCCTCCCACGGTGCTCAACATCACGCTTGTCGCGAAGTCCTTGACCCCTGAACGGCTGTGTAGCGCGGTGGGGCCAGGGGCTAGGCGACGCGGGAGCAGGACCAGGGAGCGCACAAAGCCGCACGAGCCCATCCGCGTGCACGTGCACGGTTCCCCCGATCCGCGAGGCCAGCCTCCTGTTGCAAACGTCCGCGCAGCGAACACTCTCGAAGCCCACGGAACTTCCTGCACGCCTGCGCCCTCCCTTCGCGCCCGAAGGACCCCACCCCATCCCGACTCCCGACGGCCATAAAAGACCGAGGAGGCGGTACGTCTTGTAGGACGCCTGCAGCACGTCGATGAAGTCATCCTGCGCCGCCGGTGACGGAAGCGGCGAGAGGGCGGTCGGGGGGCCGCGCCCACGCGGGCACCACGCCGCAGTCGGAGGCCTTCGGCGGGAGGGGCCCGTGGGGGACCTCCGACGGGGCGCTGAAAAACTCGCGACGGCCCCGGCCCTCCCCTGCGCACGCCCCACTCCCCTCCCCCGCCCGCCGCCCCGCCCCCATCCCCGCGCCCAGCCCCCTGCCCTCCCCGTCCATCCCCACCCCCCCGTCCCTGCGTTCCCTTCCACCATTTCGTCTCCTCCTCCCATGCGCCACCACGGGAGCTGCCTGGGAGGAGTCCAGCAGGGGCGGGGTGAGGTGGAGAAGCAGAACGAGGAGGAGGAGGAGGAGGAGGAGGAAGAGGAAGAAGGGGAGGTTTTGTGTGAGTGGTTGTCTCTCTCTCTCTCTCTCTCTCCCCCTCTGTATCTCTCCCTCTCTCTCTCTCTCTCTCTCTCTCTCTCTCTCCTCGTTCTTTCTCTCTCACTCTCCCTCTGTTTCCTGTTGTCTCTCTCTCTCTCTCTCTCTCTCTCTCTCTTTCTCTTTTTATCTCTCTCTCTCTCTCTCTCTCTCTCTCTCTCTCTCTCTCTCTCTCTCTCTCTCTCTCTATATATATATATAGGTATATCTCTCTCGCTCTCTCTATCTATATTTATATCTCTGTCTCTCTCTCACTCTCTCTTTCTCTCTCTTTCTCTCTCTCTCTCTCTCTCTCTCGATGTCCCTCTCTCTCTGTTACCCCTCTCTCTCTCTCTCAGTTTCTCTCTCTCTCTCTCTCTGTTTCTCTCCCTCTGTCTGTTTTCGTCTCTATAATCATGTACATATATATATACTCGGTTCGAGGGTATCCAGGCAGAGGGCGCAGCCAAAACACGAACCCCCCAGCATTCCATATATGTGTATATATGTATATATATATATATATATATATATATATATATATATGGTAGCCCCCCCCCCCCCCACATGATCATACATATTCGTCTTCACCGCGGCCGCCGATCGATATCTTCTTTCTCCGTTCCCTTCTCCTGTCTCTTCCTTTCTCTCCTCCTCCTCCTCCTCCTCTTCCTCCTCCTCCCCGTGCTATTCCTTCTCGGAATCATCGAAATCGTCAGAAACCAAAGAAAACCTTCAAAAAAAACCAAACAACCAAATATTTCTGGAGAATTTCTGGGAAGGCTGGCGGCCAAAATTCGCCAGAACATATTTTTTGTTTTTGTTTCGGATTTTGTTTGTTTTTTTTTGTTTTTTTATTGTTTGAAGGTTTTCTTTGATTTTGGCGATTTCGCTCATCTCGCCTCCTCCTCCTCCTCCTCCTCCTCAGTCTCCTCCTCCTCCTCCTCCTCCTCCTCGCCCACCTCCTCCCCCTCCTCCTCCTCCGCCTCCACCTTCTCCCTCTTCTCCCCCCCCTCCCCTCCTTCTTCTCCTCCTTCCCCTCTCCCCCTCCTCCGTTATGCCGCCGGCCGTCAGCATGGGGGTGGGTACCGCAATTCCACCGATTGCTATCCAATCTGTCGCAACCGTTGCGCTGCTATGTTTCCAGGCGGAGCGCACGCATAGAGGTCTACAAAAGATGGCGGTTCATACGTGCGCGCACGCATCGCACCGACTGCTATCGGCTACGACTGCGTCGCGCATCACGCGCGCTCGCACGGCGCGGCCGCCTCCTCAGTCAGCCTCGCTGCGGCGCGCCGTCGCCGACTCAGAGGGCGGCCCCCCCTCGTCAAGCACGCGCGCGAGCTCTGCCGACAGACCGTCGCCATCCTCGACGTCGATCGCTTCACCGTGGGCCGAGGCGGCAATGGAAGCGAAGATCGCCCTCTGCTCATCGGCACCCACGGGTGGCAACGGACCACCGCAGCCCATCATGAGCCCCCTCGCCCTCTTCACTGGCGGAGGCGAGGACAAGTGCTCGAACGCACCGTGGTCCGCCTTGGCGAGGCTCTTGAAAATCGCGAGCTGCTCGTCCTGGCCCTCCTTGGTGAGCTCGCCGCAACGCCCAACGATGTTGGGCTGCGCGGAGCTGGCGGCGCGCGAGCTGTCTTCTGGCGGTTCGTCCATTCCGCCGCCGAAGCCGAACACGTCCTCTTCCTGGGACAACTCGGTTGGCGGCTGGGAAAACGCCGAAGCGGCCGCGGAGGCTAACGGAGCGCTGGCCGCGCCTGGATCGAACCCTGAAACGTCGCCGACAGCGGAGACAACGCGCGCAGGGCCATCGCCGAAGATAGGAGCAACACGGATAGTCGCAATAGTGGGCACGTCAAGGCCCGCGACCACATTGCTCATGTACCCAATCGACCAAGCCATCTTTTCGGCGTAGTCTGAGGGGAGCGGGCGGATGGCTGGCGACGTCGTGTCCCGCACTGCGCTGGCGAAGAGGTCGGGGTTCCTGGGGTTGGGCCGCGGCATGAACTCTGCACCATCCTGCAGGTTGGCGGATGCCACGCGCCAATGCACGCCGAGGTCCGTCACCACGATGACGTGCGCCCTGGCGAGGATGGCGTTGAAGTCCTCCTCTGTCCTGACATCCCCCAGAGACGGCGTGATGATACGCTTGAGCAGGTCGAGGCCGCACTTGTTTAGCGTCGCGGCATCTAGCGCCGCCTTCTCCGCGTCGCGGTCGTAGGGGTTCGCGGCGGCCTGTCTGCACAACCATTGCTCGAAAGCGCAGCCGCCCCACCGAGCCCGCAGCAGAGCGCCCTCTTCCTTGGGGTTCAAGAAATCCTTGAGCAGATCAGCGGATACCTTCATGCGGCCAAGCGTTCGCCCGATCACCAACGCCACCGCGACCCCCACTTGGGAGGGCGACGCGGCGGGAAGAACCGCAGTCTCCCTGGAAGCCGCGGGCGGCAATGGCGTGGGCCACGCCAGGCCACCGAACCTTCTGAAGCAGGCCGTCGTCGAAAATGCCAGGGAGGATCTCCGTCGTCGGCTCGCCCTTGAAGAAATCCATGTGCTTCACCGTCAGGAAAGCGATCTCATCGGCGGTACCCTTCTTCTGTATGCTGTACGCCGAATGAACCCATGCAAGCGTCTTCGAACCGCTGCTCTTGCCAACTCTGGACTTCCCGACCCAAAGCACCCCGTGCATGTGGAGCGCACCAATCATCAGGCGGAGGACGCCATTGAGGAACCATCCAGAGAAGTCCTTCAGCGTCAAACTCCAGCGCGAGATCGGTTTGGCATTCGCCCTGCCCTTCTGGTAGTTGCGCAGCGCAGTCTCCACCTCGGACGCAGGCCATCCGAATATCTTCGAACCCTCCCTGTTGACCTCTGCGTCAGCCCATTCCATGAACTGGTTCCTGTTATTGCTGCGGGGGCCGTGTTCACGGGTGAACGTGTAACCCTGCGCGCGCTCGCCCCCCTGTAGCGGCTGCTTCCGCTCGCGCTGCGGCTTGATCGTGAAGTACCTTGCGGTGGAGGCGCTGGATAGGCATACATTCGGTGAGAAGCCCAGGGGGTCCCGATCGCTGGGTCGCCACAGATAGGGCGCTCATTTCGTTTTGAAACACGGGGCGGGGGAATGCGCCTGAGCCGGGGCGGGCAGGAGGGGGATCCTTATCCGAGCGCGCCCACCGCATTTGATAGCCCTCGAGCTTCTCCAGCATGAACTGGAACGCAATCGACCCCGTCCGAAAGTTTTTGCCGTAGTCGATTTTGTGGGCCTCTCCGCGAGCACACTTGAGGATGGTCGCAGAATCGACTCTGTTTTTCTCGAAAGAAACGACCTTGAGGATGCGGCATGCCGAACACTCGCTGTCCTCTGGCTTCTGGCGAACGATGAAGATCTGCATCGGTAGCAGAGGAAAGTCCAAGATAGAAAAGTCACCAGCGAAAGCCAACCTGTCTTTCTTGACGCACTTCGAGGGGTGGTAGTCTAACTTGCTACCGCTGGCCATCAACGACGCCTCCTCAAAGGTGAGCTTGCCGTCTCCCCCGGCGTCGTACGCAACCTGCCCCAGCGACTGCACCTGGTCAGCAGGGGCGCTCGCCATGATTCGTGGCGAGAGAAAGGCGGGTCGGGCGGTGGCCTTGGATGACGGGCAACAGCGCGCAAGCGTTGATCACAGACGGCTGCGGATGCCAGCTGAGCACCTGGGGAGGGAGCGACGACGACGAACGATGCACACTGAAAATGGAAGTAAGAAGTAAGAGAGCGCGGGCACGGCGACGATGAGTCAAAGATGTGGCACGGCTGCGGTGGGGACAATCAACGCGACGTCAAACACGCGCACTCGGGAACACATGCGCGCCGCATAAAAACACACCCCTCGACATCGGCACTCCGTAATAAAAACACACCCCTCGACATCGGCACTCAGTACGCCGCGCCCATGACCTCCCAGATGGCATCCGCGGTGGCCACCCACATATCCTTGCCCTTGTTCCAGTACTCGAACTGGGCCGAGCGAACCGAAGCCGCGAGACGCCTGCTGCCTGGGAGGTCCGTGCGCGTGCCAAGGAGGGTTTTGATGAACCTCCAGGCGCGGTCGATGATCTGCGCCCCTGCCTTTACCCTGATCTTGGAGCCGTCGGGCAACTTGTGGGTGACAACCTTCGAGTAGACTGGCTTCAACCAAACCCGCTTCCTGCCGATCTTCTTCCGCTTCTTGCAGTGCACGACGTGGTCGCGCACGAGCCCCGACGCGCGCATCTTGTAGCTGCGGGCCCCGTCAGAGTGCAAGATGACCTTCCTGTTCTCGAAGCGGCTTTTTAGGAACGGCGCCCAATCCGTCTTCTCGATGGCGCCTGGGCCCGGCGCGTTGGCCCCAGTGCCGTCTGACTGGGTCTTCCACAGAACGAGGCTATCAGGGCGCCCGCGCTCGACGACGCCCGCCCACTGTTCCCGCGTCTTGGACGACCGTCGTCGGACAGCTGGGCGCGGAAGACCGACTCATCCGCCTCCACGTCGAACCAGCGCCGCTGAGCTTCGTCGCCGAAGACAACGTTGGGTTCGTTCTTTTCCACGTAGATCTGCCGCACGGTTGCCGCGGCCGCGCTCGCGTCCTCGATCATCTCGTGGCCGGCACCTGTCAGCAAGTGTATCTGGGCGGTGGCCATGCCGAGCGTGAGGCAGAAGAGGACCTTGGCCTTCGTCGACAAAGTCGACGATTGGCAACCCCCGCCAGACTTGAAGACGGGGTGGGCGGTGCACGGGTTGACGGTCTTGCCGCACAGCCTACCGCCGTTGCATCGCCAATGCGGGCCGCGATTGTCATCCTGCACCCGCGCGCCGCAGGTTCCGACGCCGCAGCGCGGGCAGGCGCGGCCTTCCCAGTCAAGCAGGGCGCCATCCTCGAGGAGCAGGTCTACCATCTGGTCCGCAGTTTTCCCGTGGAAGCTGTCGTAGTTGCGGCACCAGGTTTCGCGCTCCTTGCGGGATTTCACGGTCATCTTCCCGTGGCGAACGTACTCGACCTTCTCCGCTTGCTTCCTGCGCTGGCCCATCCTGTCCTTGCCCCTCTTGCGCAAGGGGAACGGCCTGAAAGCACTCGCAGGCCGCCTCTTCGGCGCGGAGGCGGCAGCAGGGCGTTTGATAGCACGCTTTCCCATCGCCGACGGCGGCAGAACTGTGGCCCAGACGGTCGGTTGAGAAAAACGCACTGAGCCAAATGTGCTGCGGGTGGGACTGGGGCCCTCCTTGCCTGCAGGTTCGTCGGCTTCCTCTGGTCGTGGCGGTGGCGCTGTCGGTAGTTATGGTAGGCGTGGTTGTAGTAGCAACAGTAGTGGTGGTGGTAGTAGTACTAGTCGTCGTAGAGCTGTAGCAGCAGTAGTTGCAATAGAAATGGTAGTGGTAGTCGCAGCAGAAGAACAAAATCCCTACGACGCCCGCATCAGAGAGGGCATCCTAAAATCAGGATGCCCTTTTTGTGCAGCAATGTGCCCGTTCACGTTAGACTGAACATGCTTGTCGGCGGCTCCATCGTCGCCTGCGTTTCTGGGTGGGTGGTTCGTCTTGTTGTCTCCATGTCATCATTGCACCGCTTTTCCAACGACGCCCGTATCGGGGAGGACATCCTAAAATCAGGATGTCCTTTTTGTCCAGCAAAGCGCCTGTTCACGTTAGACTGCACTTGCTTAATGGCGGCCACGTCGTCGCCTGCTTTTCTGGGTGGGTGGTTCGTCTTGTTGTCTTGATGTCATCATTGCACCGCTTTTTCCGACGACGCCCGCATCAGAGAGGGCATCCTAAAATCAGGATGCCCTTTTTGTGCAGCAACGCGCCTGTTCACGTTAGACTGAACATGCTTGTCGGCGGCTCCATCGTCGCCTGCTTTTCTGGGTGGGTGGTTCGTCCTGTTGTCTTGATGTCACCATTGCACCGCTTCTCCTGCGCGGCATCCTGCTGATGCCGCTGCGCCGCCCCTCCTGCCTGGCAGAAGCGCGTTCCGCCCTCCATTCCCCCTTGGTCCGCCTCCTCCTCCCCCTCCTCCTCCTCCTCCTCCTCATCCGTCGGCCCCCTGCTTTGCCTCTGGTCGTGCTCCCCGCCGCGCCGTGCCTCTCTTCTCCCGTTAGCGAGCGAAGCGTTCTTTGGCCTCGCGGCGGGCTCCTAGAGCTTTGCCTAGTTGTCCTGAGAAAAGCGAAGGATGGCCCTCAAGTGAGTGACCCTCCAAGTCGTCCGGCCCCTCAGAAGCTTCGTCGCCTTCGGCGGCAGCTCCTGGTCGCACACGCGCGAGAAAGCCTCGAACCAGGACTTCCAGGCCTTGAAGGCCTTCGCGTCTGCAGCTCCCTTCGCCCGTGCGTTCTCCTTGGCCGCGTTGCTCTCGGCCAGCTCCCTCGTCAGTTTCCGCGCTCGCGCCTGCGCGGGCGAGGCAGCAAGGCACCCGAACAGACGGGGGGGATTTCGGCGGCGTGGGCTTGCTCGAGTTGCGTTTGCTTCGTGCTTGGTGCTCTTTGCTGGCGTCGCTGTCGTCGCGGTTGCGGTCGTTGCGGTTGCGGTCGTCGCGGTTGCGGTCGTTGCGGTTGCTGCCGTTGCGGTTCTTCTATGCGCAGTTGCTTCGTGCGTCTGCGTCCTGCTTGGTGGCCCTTGCGTCGTTGCTGAGTCGTCCTTGCTGCGCGCGGTGTGTTCGCCGTCGTTGCGACGTTCCCTGGTGCCGTTCCGTCTTTTGCGGTTGCGGGCAGGGTGGTGGTGGTGGAATTTCAAAACGTCGTGTCCCGAAGCTGCTCGGCGAGCTCCCAGTTGTCCGCCGCCTCGCCCTGGCACCACTCAACCTGAGCACGAGCAGGCGGGACAATGCGTTTATACGTTTGGAGATGTTTGAAGCGCAAAGAGGAGGATAGATCGCAGCCTGCCCTTCGAGGTCCGCGTTCTTCTTCAACAGCGGCCTCTGGAATCGCATCTTGAGCTCGTGCTTAGCCGCTTTGGCCTCGTCCTTTTTGACTCTGGCCTTGTACACGCGGTTGTTCTCGAGCTCGCGGTCGTACTGCTCCGCGCCGCGTTCGGGGTTGCCAATGGTTTCCCAGCGGGGCGCTGGCTAAGGAAGCAACGGCCTTGAACACGCGCGCGTTGCACGAAACATAAAAAGAGAAGGAGAAAAGAGTGAAGAAGGAGGAAGAGGAGGAGGAAAAGGAGGGGGAGGAGGACAATGGGGAGGAGGAAGAGGAGGAGGAGGAGGAGGACGAGGAGGAGGAAGAAGAGGAGGAGGAAGAGGGGGAAGAGGAGAGGGAGAAGGGGGAGGAGGACGACGACGACGACGAGGAGGAGGGAGGAGGAGGAGGAGGGGGAGGGGGGAGGAGGAGGAGGGAGGAGGGGAAGGAAGAGGGGGGGAGGAGGAGGAGGAAGAGGAGGAGGAGCAGGAGGAGGAGGAGGAGAGAGAGGGACATCAGGAACATGAGGAGGACGCAGAAATTGGATGCAGAGGTTGAGGAATAGAAATGGGTTGCAACCGATTGTAACGCGGTCGCTTGGATTGACACGCGCCGCGAAAGATGGAGCTGATCCCTAAGCTTGCAATCCATTGAGCTGCATCCGTTTGGATTGCAATCAAATGGGTTTCGACTGCCAGCGCATCAACACATCATGAAGAAGAGCATGATGAGGGAAAGGCGAGGAACACTGGAGAGATGAAAGGAGAATGTGTATGATCATGTGGGGGGGCGAGCATATATATATATATATACATACATACATACATATATAGCATGGCTAGGCTGGACACGGGGACTTCACCACTGAGAGAACGCGTTTCGAGGACGCTCGCCTGGAAAATACTCCTTGACACGTTGGCCCCCCCGCCCCCGCCCCCCCCCCAACAAAAAAACAACAAAAAAAAAACATGGAGCGCCCCTTGAAAAACGGGGGGGGTCATGGACCACAGCCTCCCTAGCTGGGTGTGGGGGGGGGAAAGCAATAGGGGGCAGGGGGGGGTTCAAACCGGGGAGGGGGGCGGCCAGGGGAGAGAAGGGGGGCTCAAACTGGGGGGGAGGCACTCCCGGAGATGGAACACACGACAACCAACCAGAGCCAATCCCAACCACCTTGGCAGAATGTGCAACCACCTTGGCACGAATTCCAGCCACTTTAGGATGAATTCCAACCAACGTCCATGAGAAGCCCCATAGGCGTCTCAGAGGTGGCTTGTGTAATTATTTTAGGCTACGCCTTGGCAGATCCCTAGAATCCCTCCCTCCCCCCCCTCCCATGCCCACCCCCTCGGCCCTGAGGGGCGCGCGCGGGGGGAAGGGAAACATGGATGGGGAGGAGGAGGAGGAGGAGGAGGAGGAGGAGGAGGAGGAGGAGGAGGGAGAAGAAGAAGAATAAGAAGAAGAAGAAAGAAGAAGAAGATGAAGAAGAAGAGGAAGAGGAGGAGGACGACGACGAAGACAAAGACGACGCCCTCGTGCGACGAGGACGAGGAGGGAGAGAGAGGAGGGAGGCCCCGGAGCGAGAGCAGGGAAAGGGGGGGGAGGGGGGCGAGAGAGGAGGGCGCGAGGAGCAGGGAAGGGCAGGGCGAGGACGAGCACGAGGACGAGGGAGGCCGACCAGGCCGCGTGC